TTGATTATGTGCTGGTTTATATGAGTTTTTGGGGCGAAACACATTTGTTGAGTTGGTCTGAATACCTGTCTGTTTGTCGGGAAGTTTTGTTTAACTGGAAGGGGTTTTGGTAATGGAATAGGTTGAAATGGAAATTGTCTACTTTCATTGAACGAAGGTTCTGAGTAAAATGGTTTTGTGGTGAATATTGAGCGTGAAACTCCTGAGAAGGAAATTGTTGATAATTAATATGTGTGGTATTAGGTTGAGTGTATGAAGGGTTGTGTCTTTGAGATGGGTAATAATTTTGGCGTGATGAGTTATTATAATTGTAACGTTTGTGTGAATGTGATTGAAAGTGGCTAGGATGTCCGAAATTCTGTCTTTTTGTCAGTGCATTTGTTCTCATCTCATTGTAGAAATGTTTAGTAACTACGTTGGTCGCATCTGATAAGTCGGAGGGCTGTTGAATGTTGAAAAGTCTAAGTCTATCGTCACAATTTGCGGTGAATACGTCTAGTGCATTTAATTCGTTTTGGCTGATAAGTAAAACTTTCTGTACAGGGGTGAGTGAAGGATCTGTCTGGATTTTAACTTCAACTCTTTATTTAATTAATTTAAATCTTCCTAAAAATTTCAAAATAGTTTCATTTCTATATTTTGAAAATTGCAGAAATTCTCTCGTAAGGGTGTGTCTGTCAATTTTGTCACCGAAATGCTCTCTGAGTGCATTTTTAATTAGAGGCCAAGAAATGAGATCTGGTCTACACATTAAAAAGTTGTAAACGTTACTTTTTAGTTTGGAACAAATTACATTAAAGACGAAATCGTTCAAACTGGCTTCGTTTGATCTACCATAAGTATTATAAAATTTTTCGCATCTAAAGATGAATGATTCTAGTTGTTGGGTATCACCATCGAAATATGACAGAAAATCTGCAATAGCTTTTGCAGTCTGTACACTTGGAACGGACACTGCGTGGTTGAGAGACATGTTTTCTAATAAATTTGTAATAGTATCTAGAGCCGAATTAAAATCTTGCATAAAGTTATGGTCTGGGCGTATGAGAAAATTAAAGTTGAGAAAATGGAAAATAAAATGTAAAAATGTAAAATGTCGAATGTATAAAAATGTCAAAATGGGTAAAAATTAAAAATGTAAAAGTATGAATGTGAAAATACCAAGTGAATACGAATGTAATAAAATTTAATGAGATTCTACCTAAGCCTTATTTTAATGTGAAAATTTCCTTAAAATTAATAATTTTGCAACTGGCAAAAATTTAAAAAAATAGTAACTAATCTAAATCGAAAATGTAGCTCTCGACAAATTTACTAAAATTAAGTTTTCTTCAAAAATATAGCTCTTGAACGAGAACTAACTTAATACTAGATGTTTTGAGCAATCTTCAGCAAAATTAAATTTTACAAAACTGCACCAAAAATCTTAAATTAAAAAAAAGGTGAGAGGAGAGACAAGGAAATTTCGACTTGAATTACCTTCAGACTTTGAAGACACAGCACTCTGGCGTCGATCTTCGTCCTTGGGCTTCTCCTGATCTTCCTGGTCTCGTCGGTTCCAGAAGTGAGTGATTGAAATCAGCCTGGAAGTCCTCTGCAGTTTCTGGTCCAGTCTTCTGATGTGCGCCAATGATGGTATCGCGTCGCGGAATCGCGTTTTTAAAAAACGACTTACAAGCGATTTGACACTTTATTCTAATATAAATACAATGTTTCGACTAACAACGATATGTTAGCAAACCTAACCTAAGTGAGTTCAATTGAAGAGTAATAGGATTAAACTGATGCCTGAAGGGCACAACCATCAATATATAACATAGGGTTGTTTACTAAGATAAGATATAAGTACACCGATTAGGAAGATATACGAGGGGCTCTCGCTATATAACTATACATACAAATCCCTTACGTTGCAATAGAACAACTCCCAGCATCACGCGACCATAGGAATCTGCTGAACCTGCATAGATTAGTTCAGTGCGAGTGAACAACAAACTTGAGATAAGGCTCGATGACACGGAGCTAGTTTACTTGCTGCTAGTGCGCTTTTTTCTAGCTAGCAGGTGAGATCGTTGGCGTGTAAAAAAGTATGCACGATTACACGTGGACAGTTAACGAGATTCAGCTTGTTACGTGCACTTGTTTCGTGTTTCTCAAAGTGTCAATATGAAGTGGAATGTAAATAATATTAATAAGTTTGTGTAAATCTCCGAAAACTATCCAGTATTATGGAATATTATACAGAAGGATTATCGGGATGCAAAATTGAGGGATTCTGCGTTTAATAAGTTATGGGACGAATTAAAAGCCGAAGATCTAGTGGAAGATATGACGGCAAAGCAAGTGAAAGCAAGCATAAAAAGTATTAATGATGCCTACCGCCAAGAATTGGCCCAAATTGAAAAGTCAAAAAAAAAAACGCGGTATCGGAACTGATGATATCTATAAACCAAAATTAGTTTGGTTCGGTAAACCTTCTAACGTGTAGCTAGTTATCTCGCCGATATAATTACATGATACTTTTTTACTATCCCGATAGTAAAAAAGTCAGCTAGTGTCTAGTGAAGTTGACCGGTCTTCAACTTTACTCGCCAACATATTGGCCAGTAAACTGACTGGATAGTTTACACGCTACCTAAATTACACAAATATAGCTCCATGTCATCGAGCCTTCAGATGTGTTATTTCGTTATACAATTCAAGTGTTGTATCTTTACGTTGTAAATTAGAATTAAAATTTTTTTAAAAGTAAGATTTCAAAAGTCGAAATTTAAGTGCCTGCAGCCGGCGCGACCATCTGTTTAATGCTGCAAAATTGCAAACATCTCCTGATTGATGTGCCAGAACTGCTGGTGAGGCTACCATTGCTGACTATGAGAGAGGTAGTTTATTTGTGCCCCCACCCCAGGTCTGACTCATCCATTGTTAGGAAAGCCTAAGGATTTCTTGGGAACAGAGAGGTTCCAGCCGACAGATTCCTGAGACACTATGGAAATTCCCTTATCTCATATCGCGGGACTGGGAGCTGTTTCAAGTAAATCGATTGAGGAAGAAGCCTGCTATCTGTATCTGTCTGGAATGCAATCTTCCTAGTGGGATGGCGTATGCAGCAACATTTAGCATGCCTCCTAGCTGCCTTACCGTCTCTCAGAACCATTTTCTTTCCTTGATCATCTTCTCAGTTTCTTTGTTTTTGTTTATCACCCAACTTAGCTTCCATAAAAAGGCGGCTGGTTTTCCCGATTGCTCGAGCAGCCGTTCTGGGACCTGATTCGCCAAAAGAAAATCATTGAGCTAAACCACCACTCGCATGCCCCACTCTTGTAACTGACCCACCACCCAGTTTGAAAGCTTGGCGAAAACTTCTGGTGCCATTGCAAGGCCGAAAGAGAGACATGTTATTTGGTACACACTGTCTTCCGAAGACGTAACTATAAAAGGACGATAGGCTTCCTTTACAGGAATATAAGCCAATGTAAGGTCTATTTTTGTCATGGTCTCCCTCCTGAAGAAGAAGACGAATATAGACGTGACTTATCATATGGAATTTTCGTGAGGAACGGTACTTGTTCAGCCTTTTCAGATTGAATATTGGCCTTGAAGATCTATCGACCTTTGGAATCAAGCAAATTTTGGACAGGAGGCTGCTAAGATTCCTTGTTGTCTCCAAAGCTGAAGCTTTTGTGGAGAATCTCTATATTGTTTGAAAATGGTACCAGAGGAGGTTTTGAGACAAATAGAATCGAATAACCTTGAATGGTGGTTAAAACAGCTTGAAGCGCACCCAACCCCCTCCAGACTTAAACGAAATCTTGTAATCTGCCTCCCCCTGTGGCTCAGCGTTGATGATTTATACAACTATTCCATGGCTTCATTGGTGCATAGAATTTTTAAAACTGGTAAACTTGTCTATTTATTCGACAAGTTGATTCCTCGTGGAAACCAAATTACTCTAAATCTGCGGCACAATGATCTACTTTCCATTCCTATACATTGTACGTCGGTCTTTGAAAGGTCCTTTACTTATAATGTGCTCAAGTTAAACAATTCTTTACCAGCAAACTCTAAGAATTTAAGTTTACAGAGCTTCAAGAAGACAGTCAAGTTGCACTTTCTTGGCTCAGCACATTGAATGATAAATTCATTTTTCCGAACGGTAGCTTGTTCTATTGTTTCTATTCTTTGTATATGTTGATATTCTATATTTACTCCCTTTTTAATGTATTCCCTTCAGCTACTGATTCATGTTGACGTGCTAATATTTTGTAATGTCTGGTTAAATGGTAGAGTAGACATTATTATTCTTTGTTATTATTATTATAATTGTTATTATTATAACTATTATGTAAACACTCAGTATGTAGAGCTAAACAAATTCGAAATTGCCATGCATTAACAAACATCCAAAAATGCTACTAAATTAAATGTCTAGAAAATCGACCTATTATTTGTCGCATTCCCATTGGCTAAGAGATAGATTCACCTATTATTTGTTATTTTGATAAGAAATAGCAAAATACATGGAACTTGTCAGAATTTCTCTGTATGTGAAATCCACTCTGAAGCAGTTTTACCTAAATTAATTAAATATTTTTAATAAATAAAACTAAACTGTTTTGCTTGGAACAAGTAAATTCGTTTTAGTAATTCACTAATTCTAAATAAACTGGTGTATCAATCTAAGCAAGTGGATCAAATTGTACAAACGATTGCATTTTGATCAATTAAGCTAGTTTCTTGATTTCAGTTAAACTGCCTTAGAAATCGGAATGTAATTAATCTAATTAAGCTTGTCACATAAGCAATACAAAATTTTTAATTGTTTTAATTAAAGTTTAAGTTAGTTTAATTGAGTATCTTTCCGAGTGTACAAGTACAAAGTATGTTTCCAAAATTTTTGATCAGTACTTAACTAAGAGACTTTGAAACTTATTTTCTATGGACCCTTATCAGTATCGTTGATTGATTAAAAGGATTGAAATGATCTTTTTATGCTTCAGACCTCCTCATGGGCATCAGTGGCATCGTAGCCGACTTAATAACTCAGAAAACGGCAATGTGGAGTGGAAGCCCGGCAGCGTGCAAAGCACTGCGGAGTTTTCAGGTTATACCTAAAATCCGACAAATGTACATCAGACTATTTGAATAATTTTTAATTTTTAGGGTCTTCTGACATATGCTTCGGTATACGTCATCGCTTGCATGATGATTGATCGAGGACATCGGTCTTTCTGCAGGAGCTGTGAGTTATTTTTAACTATTATTGCATCAATGCTATGTATATTAAGGCGCTTATTCTAGCTACTAGAGTAGCCAGCAACATCTTGATCGGTCATTTGGAAAACCAATTAACTTCCCTCTACCAATAATTTTACTAACAATACTTCACTAGGTGCGGATTCTGTATGTACACCTCGTAGGTCAATTGACGGCGAGTAGTTCAATGGGTCATTTTAAATATACTACCAGGATCCTGATTTGTTTTATCTTCATATTCATATGCTATAAGCATCAACATACCAATTTTAAATTCATTAACTACAAAAATAAGGTTACACCCAAATGCAGTGTCCACTTTGCCTTATGCGCTTTGCCCGAAATTACTTATTAAAGAGCTTATGTCCGTAGTTCCTACCAAAATCATTGACTCAATCCTCTTCATTTGTATGACTGAGGAAGTCCTTCAAATATACACTAAATACTTCTATAAGCTACTTTGCCAAATCGATCAACTTGTTCAAAATGTACATTATGTCGCCTGCTAATCAAATAAGTACGTGGGTTCTTGTGCAACAGGTTGCCGATTATTTATTGAAGAAGGTTAACGAATAATATTTTTGCACGATGGCCGATTCATGGCTTGGGTGGCAAAAGGAAATTTTGATTTTACCATGATGTTTGCTTTTCCTGGTTTCCCCTATTTAACACAAAGATATTAAAAGATGGAGAATCAATACGTGTGACATGTTAACCAAACAATATTCAAGTGTAATTTTTATTAAAAAATAGTAAAACGTATGATTAATGTGATCATTTTGCTTATACAATTATACCTCTAACCCTATTTCCTGCTTTTTCCATTATTGTCAATCAATTGGGAATGTTATTTGGAATTTCAATATCTCAAAACTGAAATGCTCAAAATATTGTTTTAAAACTGGTTTATTTGTCAATGAAACAAGGTTCTAATACCTGCTGTAAAATTCAAATTGTGTGGCTCAATGACCGATTCATTTTTATTATGACTCCACATGTTTGACATTTCCGATATATTGCTGTCACATTGCCGTACAATCCTACTTAATGTAATGTATTTTACCGTTCTTGGCGGTTACGTCACAATGTCAAACGAAATAATACTAAGCGCGTAACTTAACTTGCCGAAACGAAATTGCACACTGCTCATGCCACATTTCACTAGCTATCAGATCAACATGGGTAAAATCAAGTCGAACACCCATGACCACCAAATTGTCATACTGACAGAAACAAACATAAATGTGAAAGGCTCATGTGACGAAAAAATTTTCATGGCACTGAAAAACGTATATTTTTGAGTTTACACAAACGACCGCGCGTAGAAACCGATTGCTCATGTATGTGTGAGGGAGATGGATGTATGAATGTAATTAGTGTAGCTGAAGTTGAACTGTGACCCGCCGAAAACCGTGTAAGGCTGCTGCGACGCATACAGTTTGGTCAGTCATCCTCTCGTACCCTTCTGATGAGAAATTCTCACAAATGCGAGAAATAAATTTATTCAACAGTAATATTCAGTCTCGACCCCTTAGGGATAAAATTATCCAGTTACATCACCACACAACACTCTTGTTTCAATGCAGTCTGTTATATAATGCTGCCAACACATACAGTTCTTTACCAATATCATATAGACCCTTCTCACCTTCAGTCTTTCGTCAAATCAACATTGCACAATACTTAGATGACTTGTAGTCATGCTTCTCTTTACTCTTCTATTCTAAGGTTAGAGACTGCATTCAGATTGTTTCCCTAAAATGTCTTCTCATGTCTAATAATTTTTAATATGTTCGGGTGTATTGATATTTTTAACATCTAACGAAGGCATCTGTCGTTATCAACAAGCCCAATGTCTCCGTCCTTTTATTTTTATACTTATTACAAGTTATATCTTCTCTACGTTCGCTTTGAAACACCTTGTGGCTGCAACCTCAGCGACGAGTAAGTTGTTTGACAATTTAAATCTGTCCTGTATTCTTTGCTAGCATCACAATTGTGTTTTCAGAATCCTGATGAAGGCTCCATAGAGAATGCCGAAAGCTTGATTTTATCATCAAAAGGGTCAACTTAAGCCTAAAAATTTGCCAATTTCCCAATTAACAATTAATTGTGTTTTGTGCCGGACTGGTCGTTGGCTTTGGCAATGACTACTGCTCATATATATATATATATATATATATATAACAAACGAAAACCCCTAGAGAAAGGCGTAAAAAAAGTCAAAGATGTGAACGTATAGCACTTCGTAATTCCTGAAATCCACAACAGAAGATATCAAAAAAACTCACAATCCTATTCGCATTATTGCACATAAAGTTTATTGGTGGTTAAGATAGAAGATTTGTCTGCGCCCTCTTGCAGTAAAAGGAAACTTTATATTTAGATGTCAATCTAGATACCAGGAAATTAATTTGCGATAGCAAAACAGGACAGTCGATGTTACCATGCAGTAATTTGTATAAAAATATGACGGACGCCTGCTCTCTGCGCTTTTCCAAAGAAGGGACGCCAAATCTATTCAATAATTGTGAGTAGTCACATCCTCTTGGAGGATAGACGCCATCACTCCTATAGCATCGATATTTTAGAAATTTCTTTTGCACTTTTTCAACATTATTTTTGTACAGTTTATAGATAGGACTCCAAATAATTGCACCGTATTCTAATTTACTTATAAAAAGCACTGAAAATAACTTAATAAGCATCGTGTTATCGAAATTTCTACAATTTCTGATAATAAAGCCATATTTGCGTTAAGTATTACTTATAATTTTACTGATGTGGTAGTTAAAAGTGAGCTGACAATCGAAATAGACGCCCAAATCCTTGAAAGCTTCACACCTTTCCAATACAGAATCATCTATTTTGTATGGGTAAGTTAAAAATTTCGCTTTCCGGGTGAAGGTCAAAATGCGGCATTTAGAATTGTTCAAATACAAATTGTTATTAACACATCAGGTTTGTAAAAAAACTACTTGTTGTTGGAGGTTTTCACAATCCTGCCCGCTAGAAACACATGCGCAAAGCTTCATCAGCAAACATATGCTTCTTGAATGATAATGGGCTGCAAAGATCGTTAACCTATAAGGCAAACAATAGGGGACCCAAATTAGAACCCTGAGATCCACCACTACTTGGCATATATTTGTAAGAACTAGTTGATGGTCAATTTTGTCAAACGCTTTTGTGAAATGAGTATATTATTATATAACATCCTCTTGCCCCCTATTGTCTACCGTCTCGCATAGTTATTGACTGAACGTGGCCAAATTAGTGGATCTCTGCTTCATAAATCCATGCTGATGCACTGACAGATGGTCTTTAGTTGCCAAGTAAATTCGGGAATACACCATTATTTCAAAGAGCTTTGCAAAATTATTCAGTATAGTGATCGCCCTGTAATTATTTACTAAGGTTCTGTCTTGCGACTTGAAAATTGGGCAGACTTTGGCAACCTTCCACTTATCAGGAAAAACCGATGAACGTAGAATTGAATTAAAAATTGTCAACAAAGGAGTTGAGAAGAGCTTTACACAGTCTTTAATGAAAAACGATGGAAGTTGATCTGGCCCTGATGTAAATTTGTTTTTGAGTTTCTTTGCAGCATCTAATATCTCTTTTTCACTTATTGACTCGCATGTTATATTAATAAGAATATCATTGTTACAATTTTTATACTCACCACTTATAACACGATCACACTCTGAGAAAAGTCAGCAAAAGCATTGACTATCGATAACGGGGTCATTACAGGAGTTATTTTGGTAGAACATTTTATTAGGAATTCTAAATGTGTTACTCATACTGTGCATGAATGACCAAAAAGATTTATGTTCATTAATAAGCTGGCTTTGAAGTGTTTGAATGTAAGTTATATAAACCTGCTTAATTTTTTGTTCAAATGTTTCTCTAAGCCTATCGAATTCCTGATGATATGCGATGTTATTATTAGCCTTGAATCTTTTATGATATTTTGGCCTGTTCTTTTGCAAATACAATCATTTTACTGGGATACCATACAGGATACCTATGCTTGAATATTTTTGTAGAAGGAACATGTCTGTCAAGTATTGGAAATAAGGTGTTGTAGAAAGTTTCAACTGCTTGGTTAGGATTAATCGCAGTATCTAAGAAATTCCAGTTTATGGATACTATTTCCTCATAAAGCGTGGGGAAATTAGCTTGATTTATGGTTACAGGTATAGCGGGATGATGGGGATCTTCATTTATAAGTGGGACTGGGTCTCGAGATACACTAAGATTCACATTACTTATTGCCAGGTCTAATAATTTACCGTAACTATTGCTAATAGTGTTTTTATTGGTTAATACCAGACAAAGTGATCCAATTGTTGATTATGGAGGTTTTTCTATCATCGTTATTACCCTCAACATAAGCCGTACAATTAAAGTCACCTATGACAATTAATTTTTTTGAATACAGATAGTACAAATTCTCGACACTTTCGAGGAAATTTTCAAAACAATCAATTGATACATGAGGTGGAATATAAATGAGTGCGACATATAAAATATAGCGTGATATACTGCACTTGCAAAGCAAAGAATCAATTTCGGGAAAGTTGTCTTCAAATTCAGTAGTATTCACAATGTCAGACTTGAGGTCAGCACAGCATCCATAGCCAATAACACTCCGCCACCTGCCGATAAACCGATCCGGTAGTGATCCCTGTCTTTTTGATGTACATCATAGTTCTCAAGAAATAATTCACGAGACAAAACAACTGGTTTCAGCCAGGTTTCCGTAAGTGCAATTATATTATACTCACAATCACTGGTATTGGAAGAAAACGCATCCATCCACCTTACTGTTAAGTCCCCGTACGTTCTGGTAGTACAATTTCACTGGGTCGACCTAAATACTGCTGGGCAAATCTAGTTTAACTGTACTATTTTTGGGATATCGTTGAAATATTTTATGCGACAATTTGTATCACCAGAATTGTGCCGCTCCGTCTGCTCACGCTTGACCTCCTTATAGTACACCAGCTGCTTCTTCGTTCGGTCTGGAGCTATCCTGACATTGCTGTAGATGCGGTTAGTTGCGTTCATAGCGACTTTTTGAACAATATCAGGGCTTTCGACTGAGATTTTTATAGAACGGATTTTGTTTCCAGCGAATGGTCCCAGCTGATCGAACGCTTTCGTGATGTCAAGAGCAACGACATGAGCCTCACCATAAGACTGAATGAGTTTACTCCACAATTGGATGACGTCATCTAGAGGTCACCTGTGTATCACTGGTGCCGGAAACCGTACTGCCTGTCGCTAATCAAGCTGTGACGTTCGAGGTAGTCCAGTAGTTCGCGATTTATGCATCTCTCTATCAACTTACTTATAACAGAAAGCAAAGCTATAGGCCTGTTGTTGTGAGGGTCGGTCTTAGATCCTTTTTTTTTGTATGGCTTGGACATGAGCAAATTTTCAGTTTTCTGGGAAGGTGCCGGATTCATAACGCATCTGGAAGAGGCGCGTATAAACTGGAGCAAGCTCTGCTGCACACCTCTTCAGTACAATGGCAGGAATCAATTCTGGACCAGAAGCTTTGTTGATGTCGAGCAACAAGAGCACTCATCTCACGGTCTTATGACTGAATGTTACCTCCCGCATAGAGTAGGGAGCCATTTGAGTTAACGGCACTTGGGCGTTATGGGGGACGTCCATGGAGGGGTTGGCAGCAAAGGTCTTGGCAAGCACTTCTGCCTTGGCATTTGAGTCGGATACAATCGTTCCATCCTGACACGTAGGTGGTGGAAGGCTACTGTGTGAGAAGTTCTTTTCAATCTGCTTGGACAGCCTCCAGAAAGACCGACTGCCATTGCGCTGCGACATTACCCTGTGCGCAACTTTTATATCGTACTGGTTTTTGGCATTGCGGACCGCTTCGTTATATTTGTTTCTGGACTCAATGTCGGCTTGTCTGTTCGCTACAGTGGGATTTTGTAAGAAGGCATACAGTGAGCCTTGATCTTCTGCTGGCGAGCAGTGTCACACGATTTGTTAAACCAGCTGTTGGACCCTGGTTTTCCGCACTTTCACTGTGTGAGGGATGTATTCCTTCATTTCGACGTGGATAATTTCGGTCGAACAGACAGCCGATGCATCCGCGTCAGCGAAACAGACTCCAAGGAACGGTAGAGAAAACGTATCTGAGCCCCTCCCAGTCGGCATGTCCGTAATGCCAAATTTTGCAGCCTGGGCGAGTTTCTGCTGCCACAGCGGGTTCTGACCGAATCCTAACCTCCACAACACCGTGGTCTGAGTTACCCAGGGGGTACAGGAGGGCAGTGCTGTAAAGGACAGGATGCGTGGTCAGAAAGAGATCCAGCAGACTACTGACGTGTGACGATACGGGGGGGGGGGGGAGGTGGAGCTCGTCATCAGCTGAGTCAGCCCTTGAGTAAGAGCGAACGCTTCAACTGCACGACCCGCTGCACCGGTCTTGCTTGAGCCCAACCAAAGCTAATTATGGGTACTGAAATCACCGAGGAGGACTACCTCGGAAGCAGGGTGATTGATGTTCGGGAAGTCGATCTTGACGGCGAGGTATTCAAGTAGGTCATCCCAGTTATGGTCCCAGGGGGAGCGATAAAGGCAGCAAATAAATTTGGGGGATGTTTTAGAGTTGACGCGAAGCCACAGAATGTCCTTCCGGTCTGACTCCAAAGAAAGATCTCTGAAGCAGGAAATACTGCTGCGGACAAAAGCCACAACTCCCCCGTTCTTTCTCAGATTGGAGTGCACTTCGTAATTTGGGAAGCTGAGACGGTTAATCGGGAGACTCTGAGATTTTTGTCTCCGCCAAGAAAAGCATGGCGGGACGATTGGCTTGTAGGTAGTCATGAACAGCATTAATGTTGCTGCTAATCCCTCAGATGTTCGTAAAACAAATTTTATCTTCGATGTTGTTCCCTCGAGTCCACCCTCCACCCGGACATTCCGAGAGTGGAGTGAGTTTACGTCCGGAGTCCTTAGTACTCGAGGGGTCCATCATGATTAATATCTTTATTTTGGAAGATAACCGACTGCATAGGTTAGGTTTGGAAGCATGCAAACATGTATAAGGCATCCTGGGAAAAGCTATCGGGTGGTACTGCCTCGATCGACTGGTCCTTGTCTACCACCTTCTTTTTGCATGTTAATGATATTAAATAGACCTAAAGAGGCCCGTTGGCGGACTTGAACCTCCACCCGGTAATCGGTACTGAGGTATTCCCTAACGCGTGTACAATCACTTGAACGGGAAGAAATTGTATACTGGATACAACAACTTCCGGAACAAGCATTTGCCACGGCCCCGCTCAGTAGGGCAACCATAAGAAGTTATTTGATTGGAGTATCCAGGCCAGCCGCATGTTAGGCCTTCGGTCAAGAACCTTGCTTTCCCTTCTTTTAGTATAAGTATGATGATAGAATTACGCCTTTCTGCTTCTCGCCATATTTGGTTGAAGATGTATAAATGGGTCTCCTTTTCTGTTTCAGGTAGATTACAAAGCATCTTGTAGTGAATTTGATCTTATCTTGGTGATGAGTCACCATATTCACTTAATGCTTGCTCTAATTCTGCGACGGAGAAGGGCAAAATGTAGGTTAGATCAGACCGTTCTTCGAAATGGACGCCTATTGTTTCTGCCCCATACTTGAACTGCATTAAATGGTGACTGTAGTTTTCCGATGAACGTGAGAATTCAATTTGGGATGCGAATGCTGCAGCTTTTCCTTCACGATTAGAGATTGTTAAGCCATTTACGAGATCGGGATATGGTATGTTTGAGTGTTTTTTTGCAGATATGCTCCTAATTTTTTTCTACACCTCCGATGCCGTAGATTCGCTGGTAATTGTTTTTATATACTCGTAGTATTCCCATGAGGATTTCCTTCCAGATACTAAAAGTTGTCGAGCCTTAGCTCTATCTTTTTTAAATCTTATCAAGCTCTCCTGGGTGCGGTCTTTTGAAGATGTTGAAGAATCTCTTCATTCCACCATGGTACTGCTGTTTGATAATGTCCAGTGTTCTTAGATATACTACTCGTACGTACGGCGGTAACACTTATACGTTCTGCGGCTTCTTCCACTTCCTTTGATTTCGATAGGCTCGAATGCTTCTTGGTATTTTGTCCAATCTGCCTTCTTCAGGGGCCATTCCTCGATGCTATATGGAGACGGTCTTTTGGATGCAATTTGTATAGTAATTGGTAGGTAGCACACACCACTGGAGGAGAGGTGCTAGTATAGAACTGCACAAAGATAAGTCAGTGGCACGGAATGTTGAATTCCAATACGTACCTGACCCAGTGTTCAGTAGTACCAGATTATGTTTATCAATGATTTTCTCTATAATTCCTCCGCGAGCATTTAATCCCGCAGAGCCCCACAATGGCTTATGGGAATTGAAATCGCCCAGAAGTATCAATGGTTGTGGAAGCTGATTGATAAGGCTTACAATTTCTTCTTTGTTCCAATTCGCATCAGGTAAGTTAGTAAATGTTGCATATTGTAGCCTTTTCGGAATGTAGCAATTGTGTCGCTACTGCTCGCAAGGGTATTGTGAGTAGGATTTCTGTGTAACGAAGGTCATCCTGCTGGTATATGGCAACCCCTCCTCTGGCCCTGAGATTAGGTGTGACATCTTTTCTGGTGCAGTTGAAGCCGAGTAATTTGAATTTTCGTTGGGCTTGAGATGTGTCTCCTGGATACGTACACAGAATGGTGTCTTATCAAACAAAAGTGTTTTCAGTTCAGGACAATACCGTTAATGTTCCATTGTGTTATGTTTTCCATTATGGAAATGTTTAAGGGTACAAAAATGTTCACGTTCGGACAGATAAGGCACAGACATTGCAAAGAAAAAAAGAGCAAAAGATATAAAAAGTACTATCTATGTTCTTAAAAGTTATTAAGATCACATTTCAAAAGCGTCATGACCTGCACTCTTAAACTAGAGACTAATGCGCGAATCTCCGGTGACCCTATAATGCTTATTGCGCCCCTTATGCATACATAATCTTATCTACAGTCGGCTCAAGTCAAAAATTCTACTGTCGTATCATCGTTTATTGTGTCGTCACCTACCAACGAATAAGTAAGCGGCCAATGAACTTGGTTTATCGCCATTGGACATGGGCTTAAAATGCGGACAAAACGCCTGGAAATCCTGTTCATAAAGTACTGTTTTTCGCCAGGTCGTAAATGAATAAGTATTTAAAGCTCTCATTTCGGTATCTAGAACTGAATTTCGAGAACTATTTTTTGACACATAGTGGTGTAATTTGTTAAATGCCTATGTATCAAAGCTCTTTACTGATACCGTCCAAGAGATACATATAGCATTTCGTCCTCATTTCCTTGACAGGCAGCAAATGTGGTAGCGGCCAATGCTCGGAGCGGTAGTAAAGTAAACACTGGTGTCAATTGTATTAATTCAACCCAGTTCATGTTTTAATATTTTCAGTGAATAGGACCCGATACTTGGTGACGGCCTGGGCATTCAGCGTAGTTTTTTCTCTACCCATTCCATTTATTTACGGAGAAAGGACAGTACAAGGTAGGAAGCTTTTTGTCTCTATGGTTATAATATTACTAACTTTCCGTTGGTGGCTTCACACATGTAGATTTCGGTTTTATCGTAAAAATTGTATACTTGTACAAGGTATCATATAAATCCATAGGAAGAATAAAAAGCCTGATACAAACTCCCACCCACAATTTCACTCCCTAAATTTCCAAAATTACATGATCAAACGAGCTTACCTGTAAGTGGTGTTAGATCTTGATTATATTCTGGCCTCGTCGAAATAAATAGAACAGGTGTAGTACCTCGTTTCCCGGTCAAACCCACGAGTTCAAAGAGCGCATGCAGCGAAGGAAACCGGCTCACCGCGCCCTCCCACCTTCCTCCTCCCCAGCCCCTGACCAACAAACTCTGATTTTCTACAAAGCCAAGTTGTTGCAACACTTGGTTGATACATAGGGAGCGAGGGAGTTATTTACTTCGATGAGGCCTTCACATTTTTTCTTATACACCAACTACCACGAAGGCCTAAACACCCATTGCGACCGTACATATGGGTGGTCTCCCTTTAGGGGTCCTGTTTTGCGCACATCATGTGCCGCGCAGCGGAATTTTTTTGGGTTTTATGTTTGGAACGAACTTCCCCCTTGCTTTTTTTGTGGTTTAGCTTGAAACGAATTCACTGTGCTTTTCAACTCATTGCAAACCAATTTTATATTCATTTCTTATTGACTTGAACTGTTCGGTTAACTCATCAGCAAAGTGAAATTTCGTAAGAACCGCTTTATCTGCCGCATCCTTCGTGTTCTACTTTAGTACTGGCAAAATGCAATTACCCCCATCACAACGATTCTGTATCAGCTCCTTACGTAGGTCTCCTCCGCTGAGCTCATAGTTAACTAGAAGGACAGGTATTTCCTGACCCGATTGCTCCATTTAAGAGGTTGTATAAGGGCTGCAGGTAACAGTTATACAACAAAAGTGCAAGCCTCTTGCAACCGCTATAGGTCATTTGCGTCAGTGCAAGATTCAGTCTTTGTCAACTATACAACTATTCTGTTACATGATTATACTTTATTGCAACCAAACTATTTTTTATGTATTGTATAGACGAAGTGAAGAATATATAACTAACACATTACAGTCATATTGTTTACTTAGATATCGGCCATTGTGAATTTCATACACAGGTATATGATAAACTTGTACACTGTGATGTAGGACTATTGAATTACTTGCTCAGCAAATTTTATTATGATTATCGTGCAAAGTAGTTACACAATTTATACGGGCTTCGTGTTTCACTCATATTTTAATAATAATCAAAAGTATATCTAGATTTTTAAGATGGAAAACTGAACTTATCTGCATTAAATCTTGCACAAATCCTATCTTTAGACACAATTGCACTAATGTTTATCACTTTATATCATCAAGTCATCGTTGGTTGTCAGAGCGGTCCGTGGGACCTTAGCTCTTGAGTCATAGTGTCAGTTTGTAAGTCTGTCAGGTCTGGTAACCCAGAAACCAGACAATTTTAAGGATCACTTTATATCTGTAATTTCGCACTGAAACATCATTATTTAATACTAAATAGAGGAATAAATGTTTGCCCAATATGGCGGGTGGTTGTGTATAATCATGGCATCGTCCATGTTGTCTTCGGTTTATTATAATATTTTGCCCAACTAACAATTATCACTCCTATTAGAGTTGCAAGAATGATTATATAGTATTCCTTAAACAGCATTGCATATTGTAAGAACATTAGCAAAACCCTCTTAGAACAGCTATACAAGCGGAATGGGCACACCTAATAGGACACTTCAGTCATTTAAGAGATTGGTTATAGGACATTTACGTCAGTGCAAGATTCAGTTTTTGTCTACTATACAACAATTCTCTTACGTGATTCTACTTTATTGCAACCAAACTATTTCCTATGTATTGAAGAGACGAAGTGAAGAATATATAACTAACACATTACAGACATCTTGTTTACTTACATATCGGCCATTGTGAATTTCATACACAGGTATATGATAAACTTCTACACTTTGAAATAGGGCTATTGAATTACTTGCGCAGCAAATTTTATTGTGATTATCGTACAAATTAGTTACCCAATTTCTACGGGCTTCGTATTTGATTCATATTTTGATAATGATCAAAAGCATGTCTAGATTTTTAAAATGGAAAACTGAACTTATCTGCGTTAAATCTTCCACAAATCTTATATTTAGACAAAATTACACTAATGGTTATCACTTTATATCTGTAATTTCGAACTGAAATATAATTATTTAATATTAAATAGGTGGTTGTGTACAATCATGGCATCGTCCATGTTGTCTTTAGGTTATTAGAATATTTTGGTGTTGCCTGCAGGTGTTATACAACAATTTGACAAATGTCTGAAATGAAATACCGACAGAGTCCAATGATTTACCCAGAATTTGTACCAGATCTATATCTTTCTGTTTGAACAGTTGATAAAACCTTTTGAACCGATATGCATGCGTTGTTTGTCTTAAAACATTGGTTATGACATTTTAACAAAAATATGACAGCAGAAAGTTAGGTTATGGTGAAGTTGTTTACCAACATATTTAGCATATGTAACAGTTGTATAAGTGCTTCCATTGGGAGCAATTTGTTGGCTAAGAGCCGTTTTACACACAAGAGAATTACTCCGAAAATTATGGTCATAATTATGCCGAAAATTTGCATGGAAAAAATATGAAGATTTTCTCTACAACCTGTATGACACAAGCAAACAAAACTTCCGAGTAATTCATATGATACGCCTACGGATTAGAGTAATATTTTCGAATGGACATAACCTTAACGGGTATGACGTCCAATATAATCGGAAAGACAACAGACGTCGTTGATTTAAATTTATTTTTGAAATCGAGATCTTGGTTAATATTATAAAACTTCTCAATGCTTGGACTATCGCATCCAGCACCTGACGCCGCAAATTTCTGTTTTTGAAATTGGGTGACTTCACCTTGAACAGGTTTGCGCATTTTTGGTACTCCTACAACAACAGTGTAACTTCTTCCTGATTCCACGACATTATGAATAAACAATAACAATAAACGCTTCTTCGTAGACCGACTCGAACAGGACCATACCCACAAATGTTAAGTGGGGTTATGTTGTTGACGTTGACATTTGATAATGACATGCACGGAAATAATCCTCTGCGCCGATTCTCGCGCATATTATATAGAACGGGTTTTATATTTTTACCATGAAAATTTTCACAAGAATTCTTTTAGGTGTAATACGACAGCAATAATTTTCGGCATAATTATAACCATAATTTTCGGAGTAATTCTCTTGTGTGTAAAACGGCTCTTATGTAGTAAATTGCACAGCAAAGCAACAAGGCTCGGGTTTGTTTTGTAAACGTTAGCATGGGTGCCACAACACAACCATTTTGACTAACTTGCAATTATGCCGTATAAAATAGTTGTATGAACGTTTATGCAACAGTTAAAAATTTGCCCTATAAGGTGTTGTATAACTATGCTATAAGAATATTTTAAATACCTCATTTTAGAGCAAATATGTTGCAGAAAGCAAATTTGCATTCCACACAACATTAAGCCAGCATTTTGATGCTCAGGCAACAACAATAGAGAGCTTTTATGGCTGAACGGTTCTTTTACCGAAAGCTGATAGCACTACTTTGCTAGTTGGGTGGTGTTGCCTGCAGGTGTTATACAACAATTTGACAAATGTCTGAAATGAAATACCGACAGAGTCGAATTATTTACTCAGAATTTGTACCAGATCTATATCTTCTGTTTGACCAGTTGATAAAACCTTTCGAATCAATATGCATGCGTTGTTTGTCTTAAAATATTGGTTATGGCATTTTAACAAAAATATGACAGCAGAAAGTTAGGTTATGGTGAAGTTGTATACCAACACATTTAGCAACAAATGTATGCCGAGCACAGCAATTTTGTACTACAGAAGTTGTAATATTGTTTCATATGTACAGCCTTTAACAGTTACTAAACAACAATTGTATAAGTGCATTGGGAGCAATTTGTTGGCTAAAGTAGTAAATTTGCACAGAAAAACAACAAGGCTCGGGTTTGTTTTATAAACGTTACCATGGATGCCACAACACAACAATTTTGACTAACGTGCAAATATGCCATATAAAATAGTTGTATAAACGTTTATGCAACAGTTCAAAATTTGTCCTATAAGGTGTTGTAGAACTATACTATAAGAATATTTTAAACACCTCATTTTAGAGCAAATATGTTGCAGAAAGCAAATTTTTTATTCCGCACAACATTAAGCCAGCATTTTGGTGTTCAGGCAACAACAATAGAGAGCTTTTATGGCTGAACGGTTCTTTTACCGAAAGCTGATAGCACTACTTTGCTAGTGGGGATGTCAGTGATGAGAATGCTCACTAAGTCAAATCTTGGGTAAGGGCACATACGGTAATGAAACAATTGGTTGAACACCATCGCTTATCTTATTAGAGAACATATGGTAGAAGACCTTATACTCCAGCCAAGGGCATACAAGAAAATCAGTGAGAATTCTGATTACATCATCCGTTGGCTAACCATCTTCTATTTACATGAAATATCTTTTGTTTCTGTCATCGTTTTTGCTAAGCATGATAACTTCTAGGTCGGCAGCAATGTGCGGTAGAGTTCTCATCGCAATGGATGTGGCAGTTCTACACGACGTTGATGTTTATATTGCTTTTCGCTCTGCCAGTTGTAATCATGTTTGCATGCTATGTTATAACCCGGAGGGCCAACAGCATGGTGACATCATTTATCGACCGCCATGAAGAAAGGTCTCGTAATAGAGCAGAGGAATATAGTAAGTGAATAACTGTATTTAATTATATTTTTATCATAGACAGTTTTAACCTAGACGTTAATATAACGACTGTCGCATATCAGTCGTCCTTTGCCTTTTATTCTTTGAATGGCTGGTATTGCTTATGCTTAATCAGTGGTAGTATATATTTTCAAAGACAATGTGTATACAATGTATAGAATAGCAATAAGTGAGGTTAGATTTACTCGCAAACGTAGAATCATCAGTAAACTGGCAATTATAAATACAATATGGTTGGGCACGCTTAAAATAAGGAAATTCATGAACCACCTTCTGTTGTATCTGTAAAAAAGTTATATAATTCAGTCATATGTCGCTTAAAGCAACACAGGTGTATTAACCTTGTTCGTATCGTAACATGCGTTATTTTGTCAATGTTTACTTGCATAATATAGCCTAAATCGAATCAGAAGGTATAGTAGTAAGGGGTAGTAAGAAAGCTTGTGTTTTTCCTTACGATTGACCGAAAACGGCCCTGCGAACCTCACTATTGACTTTACGAGGCTGACGACGCTGAGTGAAATCAGTCAAATAGATGAAAGTCCATTGCCCGCACCCATTTGATAACGCTAGAAATTTATTCCCTGCTCTACTGAAACTATAGACCATCTGATTGACTGAAGTACTAAACAAAAAATTAATTGGACCAAATGTATTGCCCGCCAGGTGGAATGGTCAGTCATATCTTGCTTTTCTACAAAGCAGTTTGCACGAGCTGCTAGAGGATGTACCTTTGGACGTTCGCAGCCGCAAGTATTTTCAATGCGATGGTGCCCCATGCCACTTTGCACGGGATGTACGGCATTACTTAGACAGTGACTTTCCTGGGCGTTGGATAGGTAGAGGTGGAGACATACGATGCTATCCAAGGTCACCCGATTTAAATCCTCCAGATTTTTTATATGGGGGTTTTATAAGGGGATAATCTATACATCTGAATATACAAAAATAAAAATTATGGAGAACGAAAATCATTTCAAGGACTAAAGGATAATTTCATTAGAAGGTGTCGATTGTGTATGGAAAATAATGGAGGCCATTTCGAACATGTTTTTTAAAAGTTAGTTAAATCAAATTATCCTCTACATTTGTCGGTAAATCGCCATAAAGAGCGGCAAAACGCAATAGGCTCTATAATTGTAGGTGGTAAGGATTCTATTGCGTTTCTTACGTTTATCGCATCACAACAAGCAAGCTTCAGAGTTCATTATACATGGATTTAAATAGTTTTTACAATAAAATGAAAAATGAAATTCAAACTCATTTTTTACCGCCCTCCAAAGTTGAGGGATATAAGAGGTTCTTCACAAGAAAATGAATTTATCATTTTTTGCATTGATTTCTAATGAGCTCTGGTAAAAAGTGATATAACCATTGCTACAACTAACCATTTAGTTTGTCTCAGAAAAAAATCACTGCCCTAAACCTAACGGTTTAGTTGTAATTGCGATTGAAAGTTCATTATCCTGATTTTTTTTTCAAAATTTCACAAAATTGCAAATTTCTCCTGAATTATCAAATTTCGGACCACACATATACTCCATGCGATCACCTGACTTCGGTTGATCCACTACTAACTTTACACTCTATATTTGCTATGCAATAAAATTATTCTTAGAATAAATTGGATTGGACGTTGTAGTCTGTATAACGAACTGTACAAATCTTAGTTGCTCCTGGTTAAATACTATGATATTCCATTCCATTTTGCAATGCTAAATGATATCAATTCAATCACTCACATCCTCTTATAAAATGCTGAAATTGTAAATAATATTTGAGTTACTTCCGAAAATGAAAATAAAAATGAGTTTTTCCTTAAAAACCCAACACTTTCTTCGTAACATTATCTAAGACATCATATTGAGGAAAATTACCACGAAAATAAGGGACGGCCTGTGTGTTAGACACAAATTATACTCTGTATGCACATAACTCGTTTGTGACTATTATTTGTTTTGTAATAAATCAAAACCGACTGCTACCAACTGACTGCAGTACCACACGGAATTATTTAACAAACGAATCCTATAAGTTGGCGAAGTCCATACCTCACAGCCATAGTTGAAATGAGTAGTTTTGATTTTCTTGTATTGTGTTTGTTGTATGCGACTTAGCGTGATTTATAAAGTTGCAACTTTCCTATTATGTTCGTATCATTTAGCAAGTGAAAATTTACAATATCGTCGTGAACTTAACAAATAGAACTTTAGAAAAAAATGGACCTAACCTAGCCTGACTCTGAGGTACGATTTTTTTTTACACCGAACAGCCGCGCAGGGAGAAGCCTGAATGCAAGGACGACGCGGCTGCTCTCTAAAGAAACTTTGTTAATCTGATTTTTGAACGATCAGTACAACTGAGACAAGCATCCTCATCCTCATATAGATTGTTCCACAATCTCGATATCCTAGGAACAAAGGAAGGTCGTATCAGCCATTTATGGATGTACGAAGTCCGACACGTTAAGTCTGTCCGGCAGGCACATTGCACCGCTGCATCATGCAGGAGCGGTAGAAGAAAGCTAGACAGTAGTTGATTGAGGCCGAAAGCAACCCTCCCGGGGGGGGGGGGGGTGACTAGGTGGTTTTTTGTGTGGTGGGGTAAGGGGCGAGGTGTGTTTAAATTCCGAGTCCTCCCAATGACCATTCTCATAGCATCGAAAACGTGTTGTTTAATAGAAATGAGTCGACGGATAGTGTCCCCCCCTCCCCACTACTATAACTCATCGACCGGGCGAACGAGCAGCAGTGCTCTTTTCCCACTTCAATCTCGTCATCCGGTAGGCTAAGGGGCGGGAGGTGTTTAAATTCCGACTCCCAGCTCGACGGAACCCATGGAGGTGCGGTGTCGTAAGGGGCGGTGAGGTAAGGGGCGGGTGTGTTTAAATTCCAAGTCCTCTTAATGACCATCCTCATAGCATCGAACACGTGTTGTTCGACAAATTTGTATCGTATAAATAGCTCGAGGAAGGCATTGTTACCTTCTCAATGACCCTGCTAATTGTAAAACCACACAGCAGTTCGGTTCCCTTATCAAGAACTGTAAAATATTTTCGTGCTTCTGTCCTCAGATCATAAACGCGTTAATAATAGACAACGAGTCGTCAATGGAAGGTGTTGTTAAGGCATTGTTGTCCTCACAATGGCCATGCCGATTGTAAAGTCTCTCAGCTGTTCGGTGCAGAATAATTGAAATGTTGACTATATCTTTTTTGTGGCCCACCAGAAATTTATCTGGGGGTTGAGTTGTTCAAATGTCTTAGGGTATGCAGCGGTGCTGTAAGGTAATCTAGCTCTGCTAGTTATTATATAAATGGTGAAACAACAACAGCTTTGATCATTCAAATTCAGCCATTTAACATCGATAAGTGACTAAATAATATTATTGAAGTACCTAACAGATAGAATTTGGTGAGCATCCTTTTATATTATTTATCCAACACTATATTTATTTTTTTAATAATGTCAATCACTACCTCAGCCTTGCATGAAATAAACAATAAAATAAATTGCGAATCTGACAACAACATACCATCTAGAACATTATCATCATTAACTGTAAACAAATCTTATCCTATTAAGAATATTTCAAGTATTCAATCAAAATTTGGGCAATGCCTAGTAGCAACCCTTCTTGATTCTGATTCTGACCAGTTTAGGGTTTGGCTACCTAAAAGAGTGTTGGAAAACGTGCCCGAAATTATGATTAAAGATATAAATGAGTCCCTAAACAAATATTTTTTAGCGTATATTGGCCAAAGCTCACCAAAGACACCAGGCAGTCGTTCAAAATGTTTGATAAAGTTTGACTTTGTTGACAGTAGTAATTAGCTTAAAAAAATATGAGGTAGTATAGGCAAATATGTTGGGTATAAGTAATATAAAGGTACAGATTGGAACTGGGTTAGGAAAATGCAGCAGGTAAAGTTGTTTTGACAAATATCATGTTCCACTTGATATTGACCATTATATTTATCTTTCCAGAAGCAGTACACCCCCTTTGGTTTGACAAGATGTGAATGCATTATGAATCATTGCGTTGGCCTGATTCAAAGAATCTACGTACAGCAATCATGAGATTAGTGTGCCAGTTAACGGATTTGATGCATGACGCTGAACATTCGACAAACTACGATATGAATACTTGTTGGGATGATAACGAGGTTGAAAGGATCAGGAGACTAATTCGGAAATTTCGGAAATACGAGGAAGGGCAGAAGTTGTGTGCGCAGTATCTACAAGAAGATTGTACTATTGAGCAGTTTTGTAGTGATATGATTAATTATCACCTTAGATCATTTCCGTGTGAGACTGCAAGGTATTTACCTCCGGAAATTCTCCTCAAATATAACCTCGTGTATGAGTTGTATTTAGTTTACTATAGGATTATACAATGCATTCTTATTAAATAAATACCTGACATATTGAGTTGTTGTTATTTCAGTGAAGAACATCAACGCATGATAAATACATGGATACATTATATTGTAATGCCTTAAAATTTTTCCATCAACTGAGTGAAGGCGATCAAAGAAATGTTAAGTTTCCGACAGATGTCTGCAGCCTTCTAGAATTTTTCAAATTTCACATTAAAGATAACGATAGTTGAAGATACACGACGTACAAACTGTATACACTAACAATGATAGCTGCCATAAATTCGAATTGAGAATTGCCAACCACCTGAATGGGGTGAGGCTTGCCCAATACAATGCCTGTGATAGAAAGTCACTCCTCAGTGATATATATATATATATATATATATAACTTGAGACGTGGTCATTGTCGTCTAGATCAGTTAGGTGAAGAATTAAAGCTTCCGCCTTTTGTTGGGTACTTCGACAAAAATTTAAGCAAAGAGGACTCTTTATACTTTATTTTATGCCTCCCCTCCAGAGGTCTGGATGGTATTGTCGGAGAATTCAACAGCTATGACCCCTACATCCAACTTACCATTGAAAAAGAATCATCTTCTTC